TCGCGAATCAAAGAGTAAAAGTAGAGAAATTATGTCATATCTTACGGCCCAGCAAAATTATAAACGAGCCGATCATCTTGAGTAGGAGTGTAGACGAATTGCTGTTCGACGTTTGGAAGACGCCACCCCTCAAACCTAAAGTCGCCATGTCAGCAGATGTGTTTTATTCAATCCGAGCAAAGCTTGGTGTCCCGGTACTATCTAAAGCTATGTGCCTTAAATAATAGTACAATCTATCGGTGGCTAAAATAAACTACGGCGATTTTGATTTTAAAACAAGTAACAACTTTAACATGGGGATGGAATGTATAGTTGTATAAATATTAAAAGGTTTTATTTATGGTATTAATCCTTGTATGTATAAGAATACCTTAATTTAAAAATTCCTATAAAACGATAGAAAGGTTGGACCTTGTATGTACTTAAAAACAAAATGTGTAACAGCTAAATACGTAATAGGCCTACATGTGTATTAGCCAAAAGCAATTCTTTTCCAATTCTAAATCAGGTTATGGTTAATATTTGCCCGAAAAATAACCAGCAATATTAGTATATTTTATCTACCTAAACGTTATTACATGGATAGTTTTATACGTCGAAAATAGCTTCCTTACTATAAGGAACGGGTTGCACTTGCTTATACGGTGCGTATAGGTTTGTTGTATAGGTAATTCATCAATCTAAAATTTCCATTTAGGGAACACATTAATATTGTTACTATGTATTATCTGGCGTGCACGTTTGAACTTACACACATATTTGTTCATTCTTTCCTAGATTTACATCAGCAAAGTTATAAAAAAAATACCCCCACCGCAGCAAACCTGCCGTCTAAGCGAATTTCCATTTGGCTGAATTGATTTTCAATTGATCTATTTAAATAACATTAGGTTTGACGAGTACCTAGGTTTGCTGCTACAAGGAAACTAATAAAGTGTGTGTTTTAAGTAAAATAATTATTGCTTAGTATAAAATGAATATATTTGCCAAGTTTGATCAAAAGATATCCATAAACAAGCAAACTACAACATTTTACAACATTCTCCATAAGAATAACATGGGAATTTTAAATGTACAATTTTTTTAGTTTTCTCCGTAACCAATAACCGTACAAAAACACTTTGATATACTGAATTGTTTGTTTTTTAAAGCTCTTTAAGAAGGTTTAGAGATAATTTGGGAAATTTTGTTTTTTGAGGGTCAAAAGTGAGAAAAACCAATTTTTACCCCATAAAACCCCCCATAAAACCCTGTTCCCATGGTCCGATCATGCTGGATCGCGAACTCATTCAAGTTTATCCCGCCTTACACCTTCAAACCAAATTTCATCAAAATCGGATCAAAATTACTCAAGTTATCGTGTTCACGGACACACACACACACACACATATATATATATATATATATATATAAATCTATATATATATATATATATATATATATATATTTATACATATATAAAAATTTGAACGAATGGTGTTTTTGGCCTCTTGGGACACACAAGGCGTATTGTAGTCTACAGTTGATGGGCCTGCCAAACTACGTGTAGGAACATCGTGTAAGATTTTAACTTACGAAATTGATTTGATTTTTGCTACTGTGTCATAAACTAAATATTATACAAAGTAAATTTTATAGACTTAGTTTTGAATGTCTGTAAAATGTATTTACTTATATTGAATAATAGCTGAATAATGAACCTGAATAGTTTTGTAAATCAGTTAAGATAGATGTTTATGACATTTATAACAAATATTTAGTCCTTAAAGGGATGCATTATAGTGAGGTTCTGGGATAAGTTTATCTGAGAACTGGCTGAGGTAAAGGATATCTAGTAAGAATGCCCATTTTCAGTATTATTTCTCTTGAAATCGCCAGTAAAAATCTATAACAGATTAATAATGACCAAACATATTATTGACTGGGGGGACTTGTGCGATTTAGAAATGACATTAAACTGTCTTTTTGTATGAATGAATTCAATCAGTTAGTACAGTAACCAAAATACGATAAGCAATAACATTTGTATAATCAAGCTAAAATGCACTGCTTACAACTTCTCCTTGAACGTTGGTTTGGATTTATAATTTTTCACTATCTCTTATAATAATCATAGCGGCATAAAAGTACAGGGTTATTCTAAATGATGGACCCATTTTTAATGCTTTATAATTTTTATACTATTTAACTTACCGCTATAAAATACACATCAAACGAAAAAGCAACTCAAAGAGTTTATGCCTTCCAAAGACACATCATTTAACAATATCGATCCAACAGAACTGTAGATTTAATTGTACAGGTTAAAAAGTAATCTCCAACTTTTTTTACCACTAGAAATTTGGAGGTTACTTGACGTTTTTGCAAATAACTTTTAAATGGTGAGGAAATCGACCGAAGTGGAAGGTATTATTCCGAAAGAGAATAAAATTTCATACAATCTACTATTATGCATTTTTGCAAAAAGGTACCAAAAATTGCCTCAAAATGAAAAAGAAAATTGAAAATCCCCGTCTTCAATAGTAGACAATAAACATAGCAAACATTAAATTTCACACTTTTTTTATTTTAAGCCAAATTTAGGCTACATTTATTGAGTATTTTCAAGATATGCGTAATAGAGGATAATGTTGCTGCGTTGTGAATTGGGAACGCAGCTTTGGGATGTTTTAGCGATACTTTTGTAAATTATTTTCTGTGTGAGTTTTGTCTAATATGGCACAATGCAGGCTTTTAATTCCTGCAGAAATCCCTTTAAACCAATACATTTTGGCAAATGTACACACTCTAACCTTCAATTTGATGTGCTAAATGCCTATATTTATATTTGGTAAAATGCCTTAAACGTTTACACAAATTTGATTGTATTACTTAAATGATTTAATAGATAAAAGATTGTAGTAAAAAATGTGTTAAGGGGGGAAATTGATATGTTACCTACAGTAAATCAAAAGAATATTCGAAAGTGGTCTTCAATTCGATATAATTTGACATAGTCAGTTCGGAGTCATTTAGCTATATCATAATCTGATTATTTCCTTTGAGTCGCTCTCTGACACGCGCAAAGGTAATTGTAATTGTATTTCGCACATAAGACCATCTGACGCCACAATCCCTTAATAATACGATCCCTTATTGCTAGAATTTGTCATGAATATTGAACCTCCAATAAAAAAACTAAAATAAAATAAATCGATATATCAATAAATTAATTAGTATTAGGCTATACTATAAATTATGCTACTACCAAATCAAATAAATTGACAAAGAACATGTTATTCCATAGCCGAATAAGGTTTACACGGTACTAGCAAATTATTACTTTTAGTTGACGAATGTAGTGTTAAAAGAAAGAAGATAAGAGACGAAGAGTGTTTAGGATTTTGTTTTTGCCATGCAGCATAACAATTTCTTATCGCGTGATTTAAGACCCCCTAACTTTGTATATATTTAAGCATCTCAAACCACAATTTTATAGATTGAATTTTTATGATACACTCACACCAGGGTGTGTTAAGGCAAACTTGATAGATTAGAGTTCAATTTAGATGACAGCTGAGTTCCTGACTAAGATCAGCTGGTAAAACACATATCTTCTATTTAAGTATTGTTGCGCTTTCACTAAAGAGTCCAAAATGCAGTTAATGTTACATGGTGAATATGAATATGCGCATGTTTAGTCCAAAGTAAAAAATTCTCATTGAAGAAACATACAAAAAACAAATTGGTTGTATAACTTAAATTACAAGTTTGCAAGATGTTTACATATAAATCGATTTTATCTATACAGTGCTGAATTTGTTCGCTTTGTATTACTCGTGAACAATTCTACAGGACATCATGAAAGGAACCGATATCCAATGCTAATGAGTGAAGAAGAGGTTTAGTTCATGCCGAATTAATTATTCCTCAAGCTTATAAACGCTCTTTCAATGACGTATTCTTTCTCCTATTTACTAAAAAGAAACGATTTTGTGCAATACATTTTGACAGAGGAAAGGGCTGATAATAGGCAGAAATGAGATAAATTTCATCAAACATCTAGGTAGATGCATAGTTGTATAAACTAGGCAATTGAGATTTATAAGATGGTGTACTTGTAAGATTTATAAGATGGTGTACTTGTAAGATGATACATTGTATCATCTTTTACTTAAAAAGGAAACTATACAGTACTACACGATGCATAATATCACCACAAAATATATTAACTAAAAATGATATTATTACAATGTTTAATATTCCAAATTCCTTCCACCAGATAAAATTTATATCTCTGAAAGAGCTGTGGATAATGAATTATTCAAAGCAACATAAAGCTTAATGAAATATTCATTGCTTTTAACTATTTCCATTAATTAACTTTTCATAACTTTATTGTTTTAACAATGTTTATTGTGAACATTAGAACAGTTCGAACACATATTCGATTTATTGTAAATATATTCAATTTATTGTAAATACAACTATATTTATTGTAAATATGTTTAATTTATTGTAATCAAACACTGAGTTGCTTGGATGGAATTTAAATGTTATTGAAGTACTAAAGAAATATTTTAAGTCTCCTCATACTTATCACAAAGTTGATTAGTTTAATACATTTCGCTTCATATTGAAGAAACAATCAATTGATTAAGAATGCATGTAAATATGATAGGTTTCTATAGCATATCTGCAATTATAAGGTTAGGTTGTGTTGTTACGTATCTTATAAATAATATTAATGGAGGGTGGCAATAACCATTGAAACCGATTAAGGTATTAAAATCAACACATTTCTGCGGATAAGAGCTCCTTTTAGCACTTGCAAATTGGAAGGTTTATGAAACATTGCAAAGTGTAAACAAACAAATTAAATGATATAGATACAAAAATTTTACTCACAAACATAAATATTTCAAATCCAACAAAAAACTATACATTTAGTTTTCAACCTTATTTTAAAATTAATTATTTTTTATATTTTGGAATAAAAACTAACTACCACGACCACAACTGGTTCAAAATATTTTTTAAAAGTCGTCTGCACCAATTTTAGTAGTTTAACGCCAGCAGTCCTACTGCAGTGTTTACTGCGTTTGCATAGTACATGCATTTTTGCATTGTTGTGAAATATTATATTTCGTACCTAGGGCCGAAAATGAGGTTTTGCCGGCTCGAGATAGTTTTTAAGTTCGAGACGAAGTCGAGTCCTAGTCTATACCAGGGAGTCAATTGGTTGGTTAAAAAATAACACTTTTTCAATCTGGACAATTTTACATCTTCCAATTTATTTAACTGTCCTTATTGAAAGAGGGAATTTTTGATAATGGACCACCGTTTTTCAGCAAAGCTCCTGGTGCTTGTAAAGCAGCACTTGCCGCACCTAAAGCTTCTCCAGCGGCTGCCTTAGTCTTTTCTGTCGCTCCTGCAAGTCCTGTATCAGCAGCCTCTTTCATTCCCCCAAGCACTGTACTGGTAGCCTTTTTGGTATCTTCTACTGCTGCCTTAGTAGTTTCAACTCCATTTTTGGCAACATCCAAGGTAGCTTGTCCAACTTGACTTCCTACCTTTGTTATTTCTTTTACTCCCTCGACAGCTCCTGAAGCTACCGTACTCGCTGCGGCTACTCCTGCTTGAACACCCGTCCCGACCACCATAATGGGCACTCCCAACACTTTGGAAGCGACCTTGCCCACGCCGAGCTTGGTGAGGTGAAATACCACAAATTGTCCGTAGCTGTAATTCCGTCTTTCTTGACATTTGATTTTCTTAGTTTCCAAGCACTCATTTCGGCGTTTCTTCCCAAGTACAACCCAGCAAAATCGATAGCAGTCAAAATGCAGACTGTAAAAGTTTGTTAGGTAGTACTTTTCAAGGTTCAAAGGAGCTGTGACGAGATTCGTCGTAGTTTTCACTATAGCTTGTACACCATCACCTGGCGCCACCACGTGTGATACAAGAACACACGAAACCAACAGGAGAATCTGCAAGTATAACATATAAGTGGTTTCTTATCTTAAAGTGGCTATCTAACACAAAAGTGTAGACAGTCTTAGAACAAAAATATACATTCAAATCTAGGTCTTAGGGAGACGATCGCGCTGATTATTTAGCGGTGAAGTGGTCGACGTTTCGGATGCGTGCACCAACCATCTTCAGGGAAAATTAAAATTCAACAGTTTTATTTGTACGATTGATCTGTTGAGTTGGAGTTTGCCTCGAAAATGAATTCCTGCTTTCGGTCGGAAATTTTATCACTTTATTCGCCAAATCAGCGAAACGACAATCTCCCGATTACAACGATTCTTCTTCTTTGGCTTTCTATAAAAAAAACTATTGCTCTATGCCTACCATTCTTAAGAGAGATTAAACAGCCATTGTTTATTTGACACCTACTTTAGTATTCAAAGTCAATGTCTCGCCGTCAACCATAATTAATTGAAAATATACCCCCAGTGCAGCAAACCTACAGACTAAGTAACTATTTTTTTCTATTAAATTTTGAATAAAATGTTAGAAAAAAGTCATATTCCCCATTTAAATAATGCCAGTTTAATGAGGACTTAGGTTTGCTGCTACGGTGAAGGGGTGAATTGTTTGTTATGTCAAATATTAATACTATAGGATAAAATAAACAAATTGACTAAATTCAATCAAATTATTTCCATAAACAAGCAAACTACTACACTTTACCTTTTCTACGTAAGAGTAACATGGGAAATTTTAGTGTACAGTATTTTGGAATTCTTTCCGTAACCTTTAATTGCACAACAATACTTCAATAGCCTATACAATATTGTTGGTTTCTTTAAGCTGTACAGCTTAAAGAACGATGACTGTAATGAAAATTGTGCATTGTTTTAAGGTCAAAGATTTGAAAAAATTATTTTTGAAATGCCTTAACGCCCTCTTCCCATGACCTGAACTCTTGCTGGTTCACGAACCCATTCAAGTTTATCCAACTCAACGATCACATAAGACCAAACCAACTCTACAAATTCATTGCCAAATTTCATCAAAGTATACCAGCATACACATGAACTAACTGCAGCCAATTATGATTTTAAAACAATACATTTGAATGAGCCATTCGAGTAAAGGTCTAGTATGTTATATTTAGATGGCATGTATTATTGTCTATTTCATTGATTTTTTAAAAATTATAAACTTTATCAATCAACATGATTTTGTGTTTAAACTATTAGCCTACTTATTTAGATTTTATTACATCGTAAATATGATAACAACTTAGCAAGTATAAAATTGAACCTTACATCACAAAATGTTTCAAAACTAAAATGTACACCGTTATGTAAAATCACTCACCGGCCCAAAGCTCGAATCCATGATATTCTCAGACACGTAGTATAAACTGAAAGTTAAACTCCCAACTCCAGCTGCCAATCCATCTGTACGTATACGTCATGTCAAAATTTAATTACCCTCACTTATCTCTAATGCATAACTTTGCCTCATAACCACAAAGTGAACATGTTAGATGAGCGTTAGTATAAATACATGCACAACTTTGAGAAATGAATGCATAAAACCTGAAAAACTAAGATTGAGATACATAGACAAGACAAAAATAGCACGGAACTAACATATTCCTCAATCAATAACATGACTAAATTTAAAGTTTCTAGGTTATCACTTTACACGGATTTTACTTTAGAATACTATTTAAAAAGAAGTATCTTTTATAGTTCCTTGCTTCATAACAATTATGTTATCAAATAAAAATAATAATACCCCCGCCACAGCAAACCTGCCGACTAAGCGAATTTCCATTTGTCTGAATTTATTTTCAATTAAATCTATTTAAATAACATTCGGTTTATAAAATAAATAAATTTGCCAAGTTTGATCAAAATATATCCATAAACAAGCAAACTACAACATTTTACAATATTCTCCATAAGAATAACATGGCAATTTTAAATTTAAAATTGTATACATGTTCTCCGTTACCAATAATACAAATAAAAAAACACACACACTTTTATAAACTAAATTATTTGTTTTTAAGCTCTTGAATAAGGCCTAGAGGGAAATTGGGAAATTTTTTGTTTTTAAGGTTAAAAATGAGAAAACCCCCCTTTTTACCACATAAAACCTCCCGTAAAACCCCGTTCTCATGGTTCGAAAATGCTGGTTCGCGAACTCATTCAATTTTATCCCTCCTTACATCTTTTAACCAAATTTCATCAAAATCAGAAACAAATTACTAAAGCTATCGCGTTCACGGACATGTATAAATTTCGAATGAGTGGTGTTTTTGTCCTCTGGGGACATCAAAATGAAATGGATGGACGTATAACACTAGAAGACTATTCAAATCGTCGAAAGCACACCAAAGAAAATATATTGTGAATCCTTATTCGTAAAATTCATTTGGTGTTTATTACACTTTTGCCTAGTTCTTAAAATGTATTTCATCGACATGCAAGCTTCATTTTATCATTACATGTTTGTTTAACCCTCACCCAGTTTCTAGCATTATCTTCATTTTGCTATTAATATAAAATCTGTTATGTAAGCCATAACCAGCAAACTAAACTTTTCTGATCTGCTTTATTTATGCAAAGTTCTTTCAAAGTAAACAGAAAATAACCAAGTTCAGAGTGACTTAATAATATTGAGCCTTTGTTGTTCTTGATGAATTCACTACAAGTTTTCTGGAAGAAAAAACAACTGCATTACAATTATTTATTTTACACATTTGTTTCTATTCTTAACACATCTAAGTTTCAAAATTTATATATTTTAAAGTAAATATCAGTATATACAAAAATAACATTCAAGTTGATTCACACTCATAACTATATTTAACTTTAAGTAATAAATTGTCTATCAGGTTTCGATGAAAATAATGTGATGCGAACTTTTTCTTTGAGTAAGCAGGTTTTAGGTATGAATAAACGATATCTAATGCCTCTCTGTTTAAACACTCGGAATGGTCATGAGAATCAATTCATGTGAATCAATTAGTTCTAGGATATCGTCTAGTTGGTTCTATTGCAGATACTGTATAAACGATAAGTAGGGTTAGTGGATCATCGATGTATTGCCTCCATGAATCCAAGTAACATTTCAATACAAATAAAACACATTCGAAAGGTGTATTAGAGGTGGCTGTGATATTACGCATATGATATTACTTCACAATGGTATTTTTTGAATTAACATAACCATGTTCTGTAATAGTATAAATATATAAACGTCTATAATAGAATGGACATTTCTATCAATAGTCAAATAATATACATACCTACTTGGTTGATTTTAGGTTTACAATTAACACAATTTGTTTACTTTATTTTACCATACACATTAACTGCTCCTGGACCTACTTAACCAGCTGTGTAACTTTACAAATTATAAAATGAACAATTCTGTAACAAAATAACCCACTCAAAATAATATCGGACGTAAAAGTAAATCGTGTGTATGACAAATGGTTTTGGTTTATCAACCAAATAATAAATTAATAGTTCACAACTACAAATTAAACCAAATTCAAGGATTTCCCGTATTGAATATCTTTGGGCGATTGGTTATTTACATTAATTGAGATATTGCGAGAATAGATTTAACTAACGAAAATGTATGAATATAAATATAAAGAAGGCTGTAAGCTGCTAAACAGCTACTGTTGATACATATTTATAAGCTTCTAGGAAACAGAGAATATGCAAACGACAGCCCTAACAAGACAAAGGAACCAACATATTGTACAATGTGTTCCTCCATCTTGGCTAAATGTCTTAAACTCTAAACTCGAGTTTAAGTCGTACTTTGTTATGTCGTAATCGAAAAGTCTTTTGGAAAATTGTAAAATAATGTGATTATTTAATAAAATCTTGTTATAGTACTACATCTACAAAATTATATGCTAAATGAAGTTTGCTTCTGTAATATACCTTTTTATGTTAATTTATGTAGACTGGACAAAATACGTGTGTACTTTATCGAAGTAAGCAGCTTGAAAAAATCTTCATGTTCTTATCCAGTGCTCGTTTATGGTCAATGGGTTTCCTTCAAACCCAAAATAAAGGATAAAAATGTATTGTTCTTTAAATAATGTTATTTTATTTTGTTGGTAACAACGCCAAAGCTGTAACATAAATTAATGCAGTTTTATTAGTTTTTACAAAAAAAAAACTAATTTATAAATAACTATTTCAATGAAGAATAATCTATATTTGATTGATAATGTAAAGCTAGTTAAAGGTTATATAATCAGCATTGTAAACATTTGTATTAACAGCAAAACCTCAATACCGTAATGATTAGGTTACAAGTCTCATTAATTTATAACGTAATTTATTACTATTGTAGAAGGAAAGCAAAAGAAACATTTCGTATCTGGTCTTTTGCCAATTACTGTATTAACGATCTGTAACGACTGGATATATAATCGCCTTAGTATGAAACAGGAAGTAAAAATGTAATAAGTGTTCATGAGTTGATTTCAACCATATAATTATTGTTATTCCAAAAATGTCGTATGGTTATAAATATCTTGTAATTGAACAAATCATCATAACGTTGTGTATTTACTTAAGTGCCAAGGTAACATTATAGGTAAGGCCAGAAAATATGTTTTTACTAATAGCTTTAAATATTAGTGTTCTATAATAACTTTATATTAGGTATAACATATGCATATTTTAAATTATTAATTAATCTTTAATTACGTTATTTTACATTTCAAACAAAGGCCATCCAATTGTATTTTAGGCCAAATCCTTTAGCCGTCTCTAAAACCAAACTCCTTTTCCCTTTCAGTTCTCTGGATGCAACAAGTGTTCTTTGGTCTTAATATTTTTTTTGTTTTCGTTTATGTTTTTTGCTGAGTATATAACTGTAGGATACGATAACGCAGGATTGAGAAATAGTGTGACTTATTTCTTCATATTTCGTATTTTTAAACATTTTACAAATTCTACTATTTGAATTTTTGTGGAATTTCAAATTATTTTCATGTTAAACATTTGTATAACTGTTGCCAATTACTGTCAATTGGAAAAAAGGAAAACACAGTTATATATTATCTTTGCTGAAATCCCAATTGTACTATCCAATGTAATGTAGTCAGAAATTGTTGCGACATTTGACCACATACGCTGGTCGGAAATGATAAAGAAGTAACCATTGGAATGCCCTAGTAATCTTGTTCTTGTTTAACCCAAGGTTTAACAATTTCATCAAATCTCGTTTTCTCATTTTCGTTTTAGTATTTTTACTTTTATAAGGAACCCTATTGATTTTTATAATGTAATAGAAAACTTTGTAAACTACATTACTATATTTTAGTCCTTTCTATAATAAATCCATCTCTAAAAGCACCAGTCTTTAACGAGGGAATTTGCATAATTTTACGGTTTACAAAAGTCATTAACAGCAAAACCTCATTACCGTAATGTCGTTTAGGTTCCAAGTCTGATTAATTTATAACGTTAATGACTCTTGTAGTCAACGTAATTGAGTTTTAGAATACCAAAAATTATACATTTTTCTTATATTTACAGTAAATTTAGTGATTGCAGCAGTACAATCCTCATAGTTATTCTTCCAAATGCCATCAATCTTATCTAAATGGAGCTGTCCGTTGAAATAAAAAATTAATAAATGCCATTCTGTCCTATCCAGGCTTTGAGTTAGGAGATTTGTAGCTTCGAAATTACCTGTGACAATGAAATTAATCATTAAAAGGTTATCAAAAAGGTGGGAATTTAGTATAGCTTCTACGAAACCCCCTAAGGATGTTTTTCACGACTGTGCACATTAGAAATAGTCTTAGAGTTTGTATCTTATCATGTTTTATAGCTTGGTCAAAGTTCCATCGTGGGGGTGAAAACTGTCATACCAGATAAATTCGTATTTCAATCGCAATAAGATTTTTACTGTGCTGGTTGTAAAAGAAAAATACCCCCGCCACAGCATAACTAATTTTATTAAACTCACACTTATAATGAAAGTAGAATTTATTTGTATTAAAACATTTTACTAGATCAGAGCACATATCTATATATCTAATTCCGTAAGCCCAAAATTTTACAATGAAATTGTGAGCGAACGGGAGGACGTAGAAAGCTGGAAGAGGTCTCATTTTAAAGGTCTTGGCATGAAATTTTGGGGAAAAATATTAGTTTTTCTTAATTATGCACCAAACGGTTGTTACAGAATAAAATAATTCACATTTAAATAACTTGGGAATCTAGGTCATGTCTGCTTTGTTTACTTTAAAACATGTGGTTTAACTTTATTTAAAGCATATGATATGTAATATGTACTGTAATATGCATACTATTATAAAGTTGAAATAGACATTTTCCCAATTTTAAGGGTCTGGATTATTTAATGGAGTACGATTGGTTGTGTTAGGTATGTCTG